CGACTATTCTCTGTAAAGATCCTTTATCACTAGGCGGAGAAATTTCCAACAAAGGCTTCAAACGATCGGGATCCGGTTTGATCGAACCTTCACTTATAAGATGTCCTAACAGTTTAATGGAAGTAGTAGAAAATTTACTCTTCTTCTCGTTTAATTTGATATGGTATTTCTTTGCTACTTCAAGGAATTTATTAAGATTTTCGTCATGTTCAACTTTATTACGTCCGCCAATTGTAATGTCGTCAATGTAACAATGAACGCCGCAAAGTTTTTCAGTGTCGACTATTTTATCAATAAATTTTTGGAAAGCCGGTACCCCGTTAGTGACACCAAATGGAAGTCTTGTAAATTGATACAGTCTCCCGCAAGCTTCGAATGCCGTAAACGGTCGTTCATCAGCACAAATGGGAACTTGATGGTAGGCCGACTCAAGGTCTATTGTGCTAAAATGACTATATTTGGCTACTTCCGAGATCACCTCCTCCACACATGGTGCTGGGTAAGCATCTAATTCGGTGAATTTGTTTATAGTATTTGAATAATCTATGACCATGCGTTTTTTATGATTAGCATTTTTAGTAACTATTACTTGGGCCCTCCATGGAGAGGAACTCTCCTCAATTATTCCAGCTTGAAGGAGCTTGGTTACTTCTTCCCTGATGAATTCATTATCTTCTGCTGAATGTCGTCGTGACTTTGTTGCAATAGGTTTCACATTAGGGGAGAGGTTTGAAAAAATTCGAATTGGTTCTATATTTACATGAGGAAACACTGTAGCGCTAGATATAGAAAGGGGCGGATTGGGACCACCAAAATTAACATCAAGTCGCGAATGCGATTTTAAGATATCATGGCCCACAATAATATCAGCACATAAGTTTGGTAAGACTAATAGTTTGGTGTTTATATACATGTGATCTAATATTTTCAGATCTATTTTAACACATCCTCTTACACAAGATGACAATGAGGTAGATGCCATGGATACTGTAATTGTACCTTCAGGGAAAATTTCAAACCCATTAATAATTGTAAATTTCTCATTGATATAACTGTTGGAGCTACCAGTGTCAATTAGGCATTGTGCTATTTTTCCATTAATGTTTGCTACTATAGTAGCTTTAGATAGAGTTGATAAGGAACTAGCCCCAACAATACTTGCAATGAATGTTTCTTCCAAGGATGATTTGGGTTCAATTGAATCATTAAGAGCTGCAGAAGTTTTAACAGTTCTATTAGTCTTCTTGGAAAGGCATACTTTTGGATAATGTCCAGCTTTAGTACAGTTCGTACAGATAAAATCACGAGCTGGGCAAACAGAGCGCGGGTGACGAGATCCTCCACAAAAGTAACATTTGTAAGTAGTTCCAGAACGTGTTGAATAACATTGGTTATTAGATATTCCATCAGAATTTGATGTACTTGTGTACGTTTCTGAATTTTTAATTGCTCTTTCAATTGATCGAGCATTTTCTTCTGCTTCATCTAGTTCAAGGGACTTGTTCTCTAAAAGTCTCTGTCGTATGTTAGATGAAAATAAACCTGCAATAAAGGCGTCTCGAATGTAATCTTGTTTGTTTTGTTCAGCAGATACCGCCTTAAAATGGCATTCCTTGGCTAACGACTTGAGAGCAGTCAAATACTGATCAATTGATTCTGTTGAGAGTTGTTTTCGAGTTGCAAGTTGATGTCTAGCATAAATCAAGTTTTTCGGTTTCACATAAAGGGCTTTAAGAATATCTATAGCGGCTTGGTATGTTTTACAATCGTTAATGTATTCAAATACGTTAGAAGATAAAAAATTTGACAGTACCTGCAACTGATCTTCGTCTTTCACTACATATTCGGATCTTTCAGTGAAGTTTTCGAATAGTCGAATCCAATGAAGCCATTCTTGTTGAGCCGTAGGACTATCAGGGTTTGAAGAAAACTTGTCTGGTTTAAAGAGCTTTTCCATTATTATTGTTTATTTGATTAAATTGTAATAAATTTACCATCAAACTTTAGGCTTTAATCAAATAAAAAATGTGACATTAATTAATCAAAGCTGTCTATATAATATTAGCACAGGAAGGTTTGTGGAAAGTGATTAAGGAGAAAGCGCCCACACCAAAACAAGAATTGAATTCGTCAATTGTAACGAATCAATTAGAAATTGATGCTTGGTACAAGCTGGATGATCAAGCTAGGGCATGGATTGGGCTTTCAGTTAAAGACGATCAACTCACGCATATTCGGAAAGCAAAAAGTGCTGTTGAAGCATGGAGCAATTTAAAGGAATATCATGAAAAGAGTACACTCAGCAATAAAGTACATTTGATGCGGTTGATTTGTTCACTAAAAATGGACGAAGGCAGTAGCGCAATCGATCACATTAATCGAATGCAAGAGTTATTCATAAAGCTCAGTGATATTGGTGAATGGTAATTATCAGACAATTGGAGCGTTGCAATATTGTTAAGTAGTTTACCACGAAGCTATGACACATTGATTACGGCTTTGGAAACGCGTCCAGAAGATGAATTGACATTTGCGCTGGTAAAGCAAAAGGTAATTGCTGAATATGAACGAAGATTGAACACGGTTAATAGTGATTCGACAGATTGGACAGAAAAGGTATTGAAATCTGTTTCCAAGGAAATGAAGTGTTTTTTCTGCAAGAGATCGGGTCATATGAAGAGTTCTTGTGAAAAATACCAAAGGTGGAAAGATAAAAAGAAGAAGGAAGATACAATTAAAGGTAATATTGCGAATGATCGTGAAGTTATGTTCATCACTACGAACAGTATGCATCACAGTGGCTCGATTGTTGATTCGGGTGCAACAAGACACATAACCAATGACAGGATAGTATATTCTATAACGAGTATGGAATAGAGTGTATTCCGCGCGAGTGGAAAGTTCGTCACACGAGCCGAAGGCGAGTGTGACGGTTCCACGAGCGTTGAATACCTATTCCTTACAAGTAATAGACATAATTTTTTCTACTACTACGACGAATTTTTGCAAAATTTGTAAAACAAGTAGGGTTAACTATAGACAATTCACACATTAGTAGGGACGTCGCTATGTACGGTGTGTTGGTATAACAGATCCCTGTGGCATATTTGACAGATATTTGACTAAATGGCTGTATAAACAAATTCCTTGACAATTTCTCTTCCCTCAATATCCCAGAAAAGGGATACTAACTTTTCTGTGATATTATTTACAAATGTGCACATTTATTGAATGTGTCCTGTCCTGCGCAGTGTATCAATCGGCGTGGATCATTTAGATTTAGATAAACATAAACGATAAACGTATTCGAAAGTGCGACCGGAATGTAATTCATGATGTGTATTCAAATACAAAATGCTAAAAAGAGGACGTTATGGATGCAAATTAGAAATAAACATCATAGCACTCCTCGAAAAATTTGTATGTAAGTATCTACGAGTGTAGGTAACATTTTAGTGAGCATTATATTTTAGGTTATAGTTTTAAAACTTCCTGGAGGAAATGTGTTCTCGATGACTAACAACGTTAACTGTTTGGATATGTGTTCTTTTTGTATAGTGTAGTGAGGTACATTAATTCATTGTAGAATATGCAACTTGATGTTTGGTTGTAGGTATACCAACGTATGGGTCCCTCGTAATTGTAAACTTTTGTTGTACATTAGTTTTCGTATTGGGTATTCTAATTACAGTTCCACCTAAGTCCACCGATTTTTATGTTCCACAATTCGTGCATACGACAAGCACCACTAATGTCAACTATAAGAGCAACCTGTAAATGTAAAATAGATATGATGTAACGAGTAACGATTTGAATGTGTAATGTTATAGTAGATATGAACTGTCGGGGGTGCTTTTTGAATAAACATTTTTACTTTGCTCGTTGATAGAATTTTTGACTTTTTAGGGAAATAGCCGCTGGATTGCGTTTTTAACAAGGCCTGCAACTTAGCATAGCTGCTTATATCTACATTATTGTTCAAAAGGATCGTAGAGCGCAGCATGGAATACGTTTTCCACAATGATGTGGATGCTTTAATTTCCTGTGATAGTTCGCTAAAGTAAGTCAGCACTACGTTCTCTGAAAATAAGTTGGTTTTTTTCTTGATCCTCCACTCCAAAAATTTGCTGTATGTTCTTACACTTTTAGTTTGTCGGGAAGTAAATTTTTTTGCGTGTTCTGCTTCCGCGGTGATTTCCGGGGGAGTATTTGAAAGTTCCATTAAATCCTCACTGGCCACTGCTAATCATTTTCGCGCTACCGGTCCTTAAAATTTAATATCTGGCGCAAGCGTAATTAAAATTTTGACAGTTTAAGAATTGTGGTTTAGGATGTCCTGTTTTAGATGTCGCCACATGTGCTCATTCCATCACAAGAGCTAGAATGAAATTATTCCACTTCACTAGCTGTACCGTACAAGGGGGCTTCGATAACAAAGAATTTGATTGTAAGCGGACTGTAATTATGAATTACTTCCAAGGCCTTGTTTATGCTGGGAATGAAAGAATATAGACACATAAATAAACGTGTTTATTATCAAAAATACAAAGTAAATGAATTTCTATTGAATATGGTTGACGTAGGCACGACGGCTACTAGAATATGGTAAAGTTACGAAGGATAATGTAAACAAAGGAACTTACGTGTTGTTTCGAAGTCCATTAACAACGAAAGCGATGTTGCAATGGCGAAGATTGCTCATTCTACGAAGTTGTCGAATGTGTCGATTTTGTTACAACGAAATCTTCTAATTGATGTGCGGTGCTTTGACGTTCTGCTTGTTAATAACGATGTTGCGAACTGCACGGCGACATCTTGACCCGTTGGGGATCGATCGAGATCTATATGCGAACGACGAAGGCTAATCGGCCATTGGTTAACGGCGACTTCTCAACGTAGTTGAGTCGATGGCTTCTAAGCGAAGAATCCGACGAATTCTGCGCGACGAGTACACATATTGCGCTTCTGCGGCTCATGCGCGCACACGTAACAAATAGGAATATATACAGGCAAGGCAAAACGGTTATGTACAGGGGATTTTCACTAAAGGAAAAACGAAAGGATATTTTATTCTAGTTTGGGGACGCAACATACCGCCCACCAAATTCTAACTACGAATTTACTATAAAACAAATTAAACAAAGCAAATAAACGAAAATTATTGTGACGGCAAAGCGCACAATTTTACTAAAGGGCGTTTGAGAACCCCACGAATTGTACGAACGGAGGCAACTCTAACGACTCCATCCGAACCGGGAAAAAGATTGTCAATGCGACCAAGTCTCCACTTTAACGGAGGCGTGGTTTCATCTTTAATCAAAACTAAGGTGCCAATGTCGGCCGGTACGAGATTTTTGTCAGTAGCCCGATGGCTTTTCTGATACAAAGTGTGCAAGTATTCTGCTTTCCAACGCGCCCAAAATGACTGCTGCATGTGTTGCACCATTTGCCAACGAGCTAGACGCGAGGATTTCAAGTGGGATAAGTCTGGATCCGGAGGGGACGACAAAGGCTCCAAGGTTAAAAAATGACCAGGGGTCAAGCTAGCTAAATCATTAGGATCAGTACTAATGGGACATAAAGGTCTCGAATTGAGAATTGCTTCTATCTCTATAACTACAGTATTGAATTCCTCCAAAGTGAGGATTTGGTTACCTACAACTCTAACTAAATGTCTTTTTACCGATTTGACGCCGCTTTCCCAAAGCCCACCAAAGTGCGGAGCAGAGGGAGAGTTAAAGGACCACGCGATAGCTTGGGATTCAACAGATTTTTTCATCAACCGATTAAATTCTCTATTCGCGCCGACGAAATTGGTACCACAATCGCTAAAAATTTGGACACAACGTCCACGACGAGCTATAAAGCGTCTAACTGACCCAATGAAGGCATCAGTAGATAACGACGAAACGACTTCTAAGTGCACAGCTTTGGTCGCGAAACACACAAAAATACACAAATACGACTTTAGGGTTTTTGCTCCACGAAATCTAGCTGCGGTGATAGTAAATGGCCCAGCAAAATCACAACCTACAACACTGAAGGCCTTAAGATGGCTTACCCGAAGGGAAGGTAAATGTGCCGAAGGAGGACAATAAGTAGTGGGGTTGACGCGAAAGCAACGATTGCAATCGGCCAGATAACGACGAATAGAACGACGAGCAGAAACGATCCAAAAATTTTGAAGAACCAAATACATCGTGGCGTTGATGCCAGTGTGATAGTTTTCTTGATGAGTATTACGAACTATAAGTTGAGTCAAGCGATGCGACTTTGGTAAAAGGGCAGGATGTTTGGATTCATAAGGCAACGACGAGTTTTCTAAGCGACCACCAACACGAATCAGGTTGTCACCGCCCACCATAGGGGATAATTTTGCTACCCAGCGAGGCAAATTCTTCGCAGAGCGTAGTTTGACGAAAATGTCTCCAAACACCTCTTCCTGTACAATTCTTACTATAAACAACAAGGCACTATGACGTTCCGATAATGACAAAGAACCTGAGCGAAGATCAGCAGGGTGTCTGACATTACGGACAAACCGTAAAATTAAAGCAACGATGGCTTGAATTTAGGTAGCGACGAACAATTTTTTAACAACGAGTGTACGAAATGATCTTGGCCTCCGATACATTGAATGAGGCAAGAAACTATGGGACGAGAACTAAACGAATCTTTCAACTCCAAATTGTGCGAAATGTTTATTGGCTCTGGAGGCCAGAAATTAGGTGATAAAGTCAAAAAATCAGGGCCTGACCACCACAAAGGATGCGAAAGTAGCTGACTTGGCAATAAGCCACGAGACGCTGAGTCAGCAGAATTTTTCTGAGAGGGTACATGACGCCAACATCCGGGAGGAATGCGTTCATGAATGTAAGCTATTCTATTGCTGACGAAAACTTTCCACTGCCTAGGTAACGAACGAATCCAACTGAGGACAATTGTAGAATCAGTCCAAGCGAAAATTTTGTCAATAACGACAATATCACGAAAAGTGTCCAAAACGAATTTGACTAATTTAGCCAGGAGTGCTGCAGCGCAGAGTTCCAAACGAGGAATGGATAACTGCTTGAGGGGAGCTACTTTAGATTTTGCAATAACTAAACAAGTACAAGATTTACGATCGGAAAACGAAAAACTAAGGTAGACTACGGCGGCGTAGCCACGTTCAGACGCATCACAAAATCCATGCAATGTGCAAAGATACGAATCAGAACCAAAATCACCCCCCGGGGTCAACTCACGAGGGATACGAAGCGAAGAGAGTTGAGGTAATTCAACTTTAAATTGATTCCATTGCGAAACGATACAACTGGGAGGCTCTGCATCCCAACCAAGACCTAACAACCAAATCTGTTGGACGAGACACTTTGCGACGAAACTAATTGGTGCAAGGAATCCAAGAGGGTCATAAATACGAGCTAATTCCGAAAGAAGTGTGCGTTTTGTGCACGAAACGTCACGAGGATTGACAACAAAAGCGAAAGAATCAGAAGCTGAACGCCACTGAAGACCAAGGATTTTGACAGTGTCGGAAGATTCACTATCAAACGAAAGAGCTTGAGGCTGACGATGATCTAAAGGAATCGAATCTAAAACTTTCACACGATTGGATGCCCATTTGCGAAGCTCAAAGCAACCTAGGGCGAAGCGATTTACTAATTGTTCAACGAATTGAGAAACTAATGGAGTCAGATGACTAGAGTCCAACTTCAACAGAGGTTGGCCAACGAAACGATTTTCCAACGAACGAAAACGACGATTTGCAACTTCAAGAGAATTTTCGAAAGCAGGTTTCGAAATCTTGAATGGGAGGGCAACACCAAAACGACCAGATGGTTCCCTATACAACGAATTTCTAAAAATGGATTCCGCGCGATCATCCTCAGGAGTGATTGCAGCTGGTGCAGGCGGAACTTCTTCGACGTTCCAAAATTCCTCGACGACTTTACCTAGGGACGACAAAGGCGAGTGAACGGAAGAAGGCGAACTAAGCGACGAAAACAACGAAGTAACGGTTTGTTGAGGCCTGGCGCCATTGACCGGACCTAACACTACATGACCAAATATTGTACCCAACAAGAAAGGGTGTTCCAAATGTCTACATCTCCTATCTAGACCAGGGCTAGCGATTTGAGGGTAGATGTCTGCGCCCAGTAACATCTGAACTGAACGAGACCTGTGCCATTCATAATCCGCCAATCTAACTCTATCAGGCATGGGGACATCAGAACTGACATTATCATTTGGCAAGTTGCCACAAATTTTATCCAAAACGAAAAAATCTACTTTAAATGTGGGATCAGTACGATCACTGGGACGAATTTCTCCAGTAACTATAGACGATGATTTGGTTGCGACTTGCCCTAAACCACAGATGGGCACTGCATTGGTTAGCTTAGGCAAACGAAGTTTGTTTGCTAAGCTCGAACAAAGATAGGACGCTTGACTGCCCGGATCCAGCAAGGCCCGAACGATATGGTAACTACCGAAACGATCTCTAATCTTTAGAACTATGGTACCCAGTAAAACGGGAGGACGATCTGAATTGGAAGCCATGAAAGTGGCTGAGCAACGACTAGTGCAAGAGGTCAATTGGTTCGATCCATTTGATCCACTTGCAGATGGCGAAACGACAGGACTAGAAGGTCTATTCGAAAAATGCAAAAGTGTGTGATGACGAGCGTCGCAAGTGCGGCAATTCCGCGAGGAGGGACAAGAAGCGACGACATGTCCACTACCCAGACAATTTAGACAGATGCGATTACGTTTGGCGATTTCGTAACGATCTTGGGGTTGCTTTTCGTTGAAAGCAGGGCAACTAATTAGGCTATGGTTTCGAGAGCATAAGAGGCATTTGAGAGGAGGTTTTGAACGAGACTGCGACGACGAAGTTGCGACCAGAGAGGTCTTGCTAGAAGATTTGGTAAAAGTACCAGACGACGACAATGACAATTTTTGCGGTTTGCCAACCGATTCGAAACTACGAGGATTTTTGCTATTAGATTCAGTCACGTTCAACAAAAGTGGTGCCTGTAAGGCTTCTAACGACAAACAATGTTCGCTCAACAAAGGCTCTATGTCTGAAAATGTAGGAATTTTCTTTTTATCTAAACGAATTTCAATCTCTTTGCGTGTGGCAGAGTCGAGTTTGTGAATAATGACATTAAAGAGGACAAAGTCCGAAGTGTCGACAAGGTTCAACAATTTGAGAGCTTCACAGTTCTCACGAACAGTGTTCAATAATTTCCGCAAGCTCGAGGCGGATTCGACGGGTATAACCGTATAACAGGGATATTTTGGATTTCATTCCAATACAAAGTGGCTAACAATCGATTATTATTGTACCTATCTAACAAGGCTTGAAAGGCGATTTTATAATTGTCATCCGAAATGGGAATTGACTTAACTAAATTAAGAGGTTCGCCCGAAAGGCTACCTGCCAAAAGGTGAAATTTTTCCACATCTGCGTATGGTTTTTCGTCGACTAATTTAACAAATAAATCCCTAAAGTGGGGCCAATTACGAATGTTGCCATCGAATTTAGGCAAAGCTATTTTTTGCAAGCGATCTACGAAATGTTTTTGTTCCTCATCGACCGATTGCCGAAGAGGATTACTACTATTTGGTACACGCGAAATTGGGAACAATTCTAAATACACAGTTTTTATTTCTACATATTTAGCGAGAAAATCTACACCTACATCGATTTCTTGTTGCAAATTGTCAGGTTTATCTGCTAACAACGATACTATTTCAGTATTTCTACTTGATTAAGGTCAAAGGTCTCTTTGCAAGATTCGACCTGTTGAAACCACGTATTAAACAAATTTTTAATCGATAAATCACCGCGCGCCTGTTGAGATAAGGCGTGGATGGTATTAAGCGTGGTTAACGAAATATTTCTAAAGGCTTGGAATTGTTTCAATTTGGCAGCCATTATAACGACAAAATAAAATGCAAATGCAACGATTTAATAAGGATAAATTCGTGTACAAAAGGTGCAATAGCGCGTGATAAAAAAGGGCAACGCTTGGAAAACCCAATAAGTACGATAACTAAGAGATAACAACGAAAGCAAATTTTAACACAAATGTTTACAGACTCGCACGACGTACGACATGAAGGGCAAATATTTCATTCAAATACAATGCTATGAAATGCGAAACTATCAATGCAAATTTCGGAATCGTTAATTGTAACTTCCGAGACAATCGAATGTAAATTTTGAATAATTCTTTCAAACCCTCAACGTTAAGGCATAGGAAGATTTTTCTAACGAAACGAATCCTGCTCGAACAGGACCAAAAATTATGTACCGTACAAGGGGCTTCGATAACAAAGAATTTGATTGTAAGCGGACTGTAATTATGAATTACTTCCAAGGCCTTGTTTATGCTGGGAATGAAAGAATATAGACACATAAATAAACGTGTTTATTATCAAAAAATACAAAGTAAATGAATTTCTATTGAATATGGTTGACGTAGGCACGACGGCTACTAGAATATGGTAAAGTTACGAAGGGATAATGTAAACAAAGGAACTTACGTGTTGTTTCGAAGTCCATTAACAACGAAGGCGATGTTGCAATGGCGAAGATTGCTCATTCTACGAAGTTGTCGAATGTGTCGATTTTGTTACAACGAAATCTTCTAATTGATGTGCGGTGCTTTGACGTTCTGCTTGTTAATAACGATGTTGCGAACTGCACGGCGACATCTTGACCCGTTGGGGATCGATCGAGATCTATATGCGAACGACGAAGGCTAATCGGCCATTGGTTAACGGCGACTTCTCAACGTAGTTGAGTCGATGGCTTCTAAGCGAAGAATCCGACGAATTCTGCGCGACGAGTACACATATTGCGCTTCTGCGGCTCATGCGCGCACACGTAACAAATAGGAATATATACAGGCAAGGCAAAACGGTTATGTACAGGGTATTTTCATTAAAGGAAAAACGAAAGGATATTTTATTCTAGTTTGGGGACGCAACACTAGCAGAGAATAGGCGAGATTCTGTTGTTAAAAAAGAAGCAAGTATGACGTGATTCTAAGGTAGTAGTAGAAAATAGTTATTTGTTTCATTAGTACAAAAAATGTCAGTTTTCGGGACGAGGAAGATAGTTGCTGGACGACGCGTTAGCGGAGTCCAGCAACCTTCCGAGTCCCGAAAACGCATTTTTTGTACGAATAAAACATAAAATTTTTTCTCCAACCCCCTGTACTTCAAATTATTTTCGAATTTAGATTCAGTCACAGTTTCACTACTATAGTATAAGAACTTCTGCTTTCTTGTCCTCACGTGTCATGCCACTCTAGTTTTTAGGTTAACTTATAACCTATTCGTTCTTACTTCTCACCTCTCGCGACTTTGTAGGGAGCAAATCTTGAGGTAGCATGTTCTGCCGTTTCTATAATCTCTGGCGGAGTGCAATCCATGTCGCTATCAGTTTCAGTCATTTTATTGTATACACAATTAATATTGTTATATTTTGTATTGAAATAAAAAACTTACCACACAGTTTTTTAATTAAAATTCATTGCAATTAACTTTTTCAAATTTTGAATTCAAAATGACAGATAATAGTGCAATGGGTCTGAAGTAGATGGCGTTACGCGCGACGGCGGGTTGTATACGTATTAAAATTACGTTCACGGAATATGTAAATTACGTTACACATGGTTTAAATAAAAATAGCGAGCGTAAATCATTTTCAATACATGTACATACGTATAGGTAACATCATTATTTGCATTGAATATGCAAAAATATTTGATTTGTATGTATAGAAATATCTTACAACCTGCAATGTAAAACGATGTCAATGTGACATATCTCCGTGATTGTAATTTTTTAATTGGCCAACTTTCAAGGTCAATTTCTTTTTGGTACTAGGACCAAAAGTATCCACTTTTTGTACAGTTGCCATGGTGAAAGCGATTAATCCGCAAAACGTCAATTTTAGGTACCGAACACTGTCACAAAATAGCGTCTTATTCAGGTGGTTGGAGAAAAAGTTCTTTTCGTCACTCGATGAATCATATAAGAGTGTTATTGAGGTCGGAAATGGTGGTACTGTGTATGTTAAAGGTAAAGGTAGTGGTAAATTGATGTTTATGGACAGTAAAGACAATGTACGACGTGCTATCGCAAATGAAGTACTGTATGCGCCAAATATGGTTGGAAATGTACTCTCTGTTCGTCGCTTAGTTGAAAACGGTTTAACCATTGAATTCAACAAGAAGTTTTGTGAAATCAAAGCGAATGGACAACAAATTGGCAGATCTAGTGGAAAATTTGTATCGCTTACGGCAATCGCATGTGGTGTATTCGGCGATTGAATCTCA